ATTATTTGGAGTATACTGTAGGTTGCATAAAATAACTATTGTAAGTTACAACTAAATATATATATTAGCAAATAAGTAATGATAAATGTTCTATTTATGTAATGTCAATGTAATTAGACATAGATTTTGAGATTTATTCTATTAAACATTGTTTCAAATAAATTGGAAAAAAAAGAAAAACAGATTTCAATGCACAAATGTTTTTTATTGTTCACCAAAGAAATGGTAACATGACAATGCATTAAACTTGTCAGCCACAGGACAAGTAAAAATAAGCTTTGAAACAGCTTACTAACAATTGTAACTATTTTTTAGAAGAAACATGAACACACAGTATTCAACAATATATGCTATATCCCTTGTGAATGCCTGGATATGCATTAAAAACTGGGCATGCATTAAAACGGAGGCAAGCCTCTGTAACTTTAAACTTGGCTGAAGAATTGTGTGAACACACATTAACTGAGCACTAACAGCACTAATATGCAGTGACAGAACACACTTTAATGTCTTATACAGCAAAACACAAGTGGCTTCTCGTGGAAGCTTCTCGCATTTCCTTACATTGTAAGCTGTTTTTTCAGAGTTTGCAACCTGAGTTTGGGCCAACATGAGAAGTACCTGTTGGATGAACTGGAATGTGTTCTTCATATATTTAGGGTAGTTGAGATGCAGTGTGTATGCAAGTCCATACATAATGCACATAGCTTTTGGCAAGTCGTCAGTATTGTCCATCACAACTTCTCCTTCAATGATGATCTTCAATGAGGCTGGATTGAGATGGAGAGAAGATGAGACCATGTCACCGTCATGAGGTCGGATTGAGATGGAGAGAAGATGAGAGCATGTCACCTTCATGCTCAATGAGGAGGATTCCAATGTCATCAGTAATCGTCATCAGAGTCCTAACAACATAAGAGCACAATCATGAAATTTCTTATTACATAACCATCAATAATGTTAAGCAATTTGTTACGACTGCTGGAGTTGTCTTCACAATATTATTTAAATTTTGGTAACATGGACTTTTAACGTAGGAACAGAAACTTATGTTCCATTAAAAACAGTTCACGCAAAACTGAAAATCTGCTGTTAATTTACACATTCTCAGGCCATCCAAGCTGTAGTTTTTCTTCAGTAGAACCTTAAAAGATTATTAGCTGAAACTGTGGTCCTTGGTGATTGATATAAAACAGATAGTTCACCCAAAAATGACATTTTAAAGTAAAATTTAAACTTGAAAGATTTTTAGCTGAAACTGTGGTGATTGATATAAAAGTCAATGGAAACTGTCATTTTTGATAGTTAAAAAAAACATGCACAGGTAAAACAAAATTAATACCCGTGGATACTCCTGACCATACATTGAGGTCTTACGAAGTAAAACAATTGGTCTGAGAAACATCCACAACCTCTGCAAACGGTCCTGAGTACATTCACAACAGTCTGGAGCGTGAGTTTCCTGTCGCATATAATAATGTATGGGCAGGAGCGAACTCACACATGAGCAATCTTCCTTCCCTAAAAGTTGATTGCACAAGCAAATTCTTTTTTATTTTTATATAGGTTGTGGGATCCAAGATAAGTACACTCAAGTACCATTTTGATGATGACCAATACAACACACAATGTTTGCACTCCAGACATTTGTAAACATGCTCAGGACTGTTTGCCGGGGCTGTGGATTAAAGGTAATAATGCTGTAAATAATGTTCAGTTTCTTGCACAGACTGATTGTTTTGCTTCATAAGACCTCAATGTATCGTCAGGAGACACATGTATTAATTTTGTTTTGCCTGTTTTGTTTTTTGGGTTTTTTTTTTACTCCAATTGATCCTAGCCATTGACTTGCATTAAATTAATCACCAAGGACCAGAGTTTCAGCTAAAAATCTTTAAAGTTTAAATTTTAAATTTCATTTTTGGGTGAACTATACTTAAAATTGTATTTCAAAAAAGAACTCTTAAAAACTTAAGTCCAAAGGGTTTGTACAACATGAGGATGAGCAAATGTTGGATGAACTAACCCTTTAAGCAAACAGATCACCCAAAGCGGCTAAAAGAGCTATTGTAATAAGTTAATGGTTTAGGCTTTATGCTCAGAGGTTTTATAAAACACAGGAACTATCAAGTAATGGTGAAATGATTATGTTTGTATGTCCTTTTAGATATTGTGAGAGAAAACAGGTTACTTACAAAGCATACTTTGTAGAAATCTGTAGGTTTGTCACCAATGACGATAGGGAGTCCTCTGAGCACCAGAGACCTAGTATCAGTTGGCTCTTTAGTCTGTTGGGGAGTAAAATGAATCACTGATGAATAATATTAAAGAAATGATCACAAGAAAGCAGAACCAATTGCATTACACAACCAATATTGTAAACTTTCTGTGATACATTTTCATTACTTAAGCTGCTAAAAACTATGCAATGCAAGTCTATAACGGATATGGACCAACCTTGATTTGTTGTGAAAGCTGTCAACAGCTGCCCAACTTTCTCTCTCTTAGACTGAAATATCTCAGTTAGACTAAGACTATGTCGGTCAATGATTTCATGCTTGAGATTCTTGCCCACAATCCTGTAACGTTAATTCCCAGCTAACAAAAAAAGGTCCCCAGGCCGTCCCCTAAATGGCATCTGCGAACGTCCCCTGGACGTCAGCGTGTAGGGTCCCCTTGACGTCAAGCAGACGTTCGCGAAGACGTCCTCCAGACGTTCAAGGGGACGTTCACAGGACATGCAGCGCCCATTCGGGACGTTTAGGGGACTTTCGCTTTAAGTCCTCTGAATG